GTTATGGCTCTTTGTGATATTCAGCACACTGCAGCAGACAGCCATCAGGAAATTAGGATGCTTTTTGGTGAATAGAGTATGTGTCCAGATTCCCCCAAATTTTCTTTAGGTTTTCATCACTGAACTGTCCGTGTGGTGCTTATGATTTTCATAGTTCAGTTCCATAAACAGACACCCCCGTGATTCTACATCAGCTAATGTGGAATGCGGGACAAATGAAGGCAGGAGGCCAAGAAGCCATTCAATTTGACCTGTCATTTAGGTGCACAGTGAATTTATCGGAAGTGTCCATCGTCACTAAGCCCATAAAGAACCTTAAAGACTTTGTAAGGGTTCTATGACTTATGAATGATCTAGGCTGATTTATATAAAGGAAATAATTCTAAACTGACTTTCAAACCTTTGCATCTCCATATCATTTGTAAAGTGTTCAAGACTAGGACATTAGATGGCTCTCTTGGGGCATTTTCAGTATAGAAAATACTTCAGAAGGTAACGTAAGAAAGGCAAACAAACTTTATTCCAGCTAAAGCATTTATTTGAAAAGTATTTATGGATTAATATTAAAATTTAAATAAGTGTTCCTTGACAATCTGAGTTTTCAGTGTTTTAGTAGTTATGAAAACACTGACCTGAATGTATTAATAGCACTCACTATATGATAGCCAGTTTCTTCACAGTGCCATGAGATTTGGTCCTATTACTTATTGGCCTTATTTGTCTTCAGAACCTGAGGCAAAGAGTGAAAACCTTTCTGCCCAAGGTTACGCCATTTGTAAACAGCAGTGCTGACAGTCTGGCCCCAACGTGTGTGTTCTTAGCCCCTGAACCAGATGGCCACTGGCCACACTGTGAAGCAATCTGCTTATTGACTTACACATGTGTCCTTAGTAAGCAATGAATGAAGACAGGATTTTATCCAGATCTAATCTACTTTAGAGTCAATGCTCTTTCTAATCTTGCCTCTCACAGTATCCCATTTACACCTGTTTGTATGATCTGGCCTGCTTCATTTTGACTCTCCAGAAGCCATTAAGATAAGGCATAAGTGTCAGGAGGTCTCAGTCCAACACAGACACCACAGAAGCAGTGCTGGGGAAATGATCCCCACCTCAAGCACACTAGTCACAGAACAACTCTGGAGCTTTCTGAAGAATGTTGACTCTCTGGGTGTCCCCCTTTTGTCCTTCAAGAAAGGGGTGTGGTTGATGGGTTCAGAGCAGCCTCCAATAGGGACATGCCACCATATAGGCTGGACACAGGATTCTTGCTCTGTGTACTCAGACCACACAGCTCTCTCAACTGCCTGGTATCAAGCATGACAACAAATTGATAAAGACCCGAGTGGAGCTCAGAGCATGAATTTCAAAAAAAGTCTTAGAAGATAGTAAACACCCCAATCTGCACCACTCCCAAATCTCCATATGCACTGTGGTAAGTTGCATCCAATTTCCCTTTAATCTAGCTAAACTCAGAATCCTAAATATAAAGGAAAAGAGCCCCGAGAATTCTTTGAAGGTGTCTCAGAAGTCAGTTTGGAAAGGAATTCCGATGAGGCAGGGTCTAGATTGTTACCTTCCTCGTATATGCACATATGCACATATACACCATATGCACACACACACACACACACACACACACACACACACACACAAAACAGTGCATAGCAATTCTATTTGACCTGCTTAATAAATCAGTTCTCCATATTTTATGTTGAAAGAAGTTTGTTGACCATTTTCAGTATTGATCTTTAAGCATCCCACCCCCACCACTCCAGGTGTTCCATTTAGAAAAGGATTTGGGTTGAAAAGACATAAGAGCTTGATGTTCCTGTCAGAGGGGACTTCACAGTCACCTATCTAGGTCTATTCTGAAGAAACTTATACTTTGAAAGTAAAGGACATGCTGGACCAGGCTCTAACCCAAACACAGTATGAGATAATGTGTGATCATATTGGTAAAGATGACGTTCCTACCCAGACTTTGTCATTGAGAACACTATCATTCCCAGAAGGCTTCAGTTAGTCAGAGATGAGAGTCATAATGAATTTGTGGCATCATTCTAAATTACTTGTCTTTTTGCCTTCCAATTGGCTTCACTTTCTTTTTCCCCCGATCTGCTTTTAGTTGTGCCTCTTTCCTCCATCTTTCCAAATTGGACTCATGGACTAGGAAGAGGTGGTCTGTGTCATAAGAAATAAATGAGCTCAGTTATTCTCGGAAGTACTGTCTTAACTACCTCTGTATTCCTACAAAGAGCAAAACATTACCACATTACCGTAATGGTATAGTCATTGCACAGGCATTTTGACCAATACAAAGAGCAAACTTTGTTTTTCTTTGTTTCCTACAATGTGTATTGATTTATCTATGCTATATGAGTAAAAAAGAATGATGTCAACAAATAATCCAGTGTTAATCATATTGATGGTGACAGCATCTTTGAAGAAAACTTATTGAGGAATCATTTGTGTACCTCAAATTAACTTATTTTTAATGGGAAGTTCAATGAGCTTTAGTAAGCACACAAAGTTCTAGAAATGCCATCATTGTCAAATTCTAGAACATTTCTATTATACTGAAAAGAGATATTGTTTATTCCCACCAGTTTCAGGTAATCACTAATTTGCTTTCTGTCTCTATGGATTTGATTTTTCTGAGGAAAAGACATTTAATATAAATAGAGTCATACAATGTGTGATATTTTATAACTTCTTTTAGTTAGCTTATTCTTTTTAAAATTTACCCATATTTTAGCAATAATAAAAAATCCTTTTATATAATACCCCTTTGCATTACGTATAGAAAAAGAGTAAGATTTCAGAGGGAAGGAAGTGTGGGGTTCAATCAAATCTTTGGCATTTTTGAGCTGAGTCTTCGAAGACCTCCCCAGTATCTCTGAGATATAGTTGCAGACCAGGGATAGCAATCCTTTTCTCAGACACTCAATAAACTCAGTAAATAGTCACTCAATAAACCCAGTCTTTCTGCTTTGCCCAGCCATTTGTGTACTTCTTACCTCCACCCTTGCTTCAAACTGTGCAGTGAACCTTACAGCCTCCCTGGCAGCCTTCACATCAAGCTTGGAATGAGAGTCACATAGTAAAACAATATCAGAAACAGAATTCACCAAAGGGAGCCCAGATGGTAAGGAACTAAGGGGATTTCCTTCAATTATATCAACTGTCACTTCTTATAAATAATGTTAAATTGCATTTAATTATTTTTTTAAAGGGGGAATGGATCGAGTTCTATGCTAGACCACTGTGGAATTTTAAGTTAGTAGAGATCTAAGAACACCCTTGTTCCCCACCAATTCTTATAAAACTGCCTCCATTAGCCACAACCCCACATTAACAGATAAACAGCAGTGAAGGGTTGCCAAACTCAGCCCACTTCCCATCCTCAACTCTCAACATTCACCTAGTGTGTGCAGACTCTTACCTAAGTGATTCGGAGAGCTCAGTTCACAAGTACAGCAAAATCAACTCGTTTCTCAATCTTACTCATTTCTCCATCCCCCCTCTCTGACTGGAATATGTTCTCATTTTGAGTTTCGACTAAAAGGGGTTCTAGATATGACTTCATCTTGAATTTATGGCGATGCTGTCTTTCCACTGCGAGCATCAAGTTCCCATCCATATCGGCGCTCCTTCCCAGTCAGTGTCTCTCCACTTTTCAATTAGTCATCACTCTGCTTCACTCTCCACGTTGTTTTTCTTGGTGTTTGTTATAGCTATATACTGAAACACTTACTTCCCCATTACTTCCCAGGTTTACTGTCTGTTAAATATAGCATAATAGAAAAGGATAACACTTCTCCATATTACTTCTAAATAAAAGAGGTTTGCATGGTATTTTGTGTATCCCTCACTTGACGTAAATGAGGAAACTTATCTTTTTCATGGCATAAAATTCCTATTGTCAAACATAAATGAAGTATTTTTAAAAAGTAACATGATTTTCTCACTTTATATGTCAGTAATGCTATTTATGCTACTGGTATTGACGATTCAAAAGAAGGATATTAATTACATTTCCTAAGTGATTAGTCTGCAGCATCATCGGGTGTGTAGATGCGTCTACACTTGTATTTTGATAAAGCCACACTCACAAAATAAAAGCCGGATAAAAGCTAGATCAGGACTGAATCAAGCACTTACAGTGTATATGCAAGGATTCCCACAATATCTCTAGGTGTACCTAGTTTGATAACAGCAACTGTTGGCAAACGGCTGGTTCTTTCCCTGATACTGAAGTCCAGCTGTAGTAGATGGAATCCCAGAAAAAGAGTTTTCATTTACTCTATTAGCATTTTCTATGGATTTGAGAACCCATAAATGTGATGAAAATAAATAAAAAGGGAGTGGTGGATAAATGTAGCTGACGTTAACTCAAATTTGTCAGTATCCCCAGTGTGAAAAAACAAAACAAATGACAGCAACACAGCAACAACAAAATATCTTTACTTGTGTCAAAACTTCCCTTTCATGACTAGTAAAGGAATGGATGTAATTTTTACCCAAGATTTTACTTTACCCACTTTAAGCAGCACCATAGGGTATAAATGTCACATGGTATAAATAGTTTACTCAATCTGAGATTTAGCAAAGATTTTTCTCTTTAAAGCATTTTGTCCAGCAGCAGATTATAAACTCATCTTCAAACATGATAATGTAACTTTAATGTTCACCCATTCCCCTCACCAAAATTGTAAACTCCCAGTTCCAGTTAATTAACTGGGAGTTAACTTTTTTAAAAGTCAGTGACCAAACCCACACATGGGCATGCATTTATGTCTGCCTGTCTGTCTGCCTGCCTATCTGTCTATCATCACAGTAACACAGCTTTCGCATTAAGGGCTCACTCATCTCAGGATGACTGGTTAAAATCAGATTTGCTTTGGAGAGATCATTTTGTGGCTTCAAACATTACAGAATTCTGCCAGCATCCATGCATCATGTACTCAAATCACCAGATAAAAGTTCAGAGTCTCCTACCCTGAGATGGCAGCCAGCTTTTGGTGTGCCTGACGGGCCATTTCACAGCCTTTGGTTCTTGTCTTGTGCATTTCCGCCCGTAGTGAGGGGCAACTGACGGAGACGTCCCCAATAGAAATGACCAACTCTCGATACAGGGCCACTTGTGTGTTGAACTCTTGGACAAGCTGGAAAACAAGCCAATTTCTTTTACTAAACATTCACTTATCAGAAACTTAACTATTTTCATGGACATAAACAGAGATTTCACTGACTGCTGGCTGGCCTGGCACCCCAATCTACAACTAAGGAACCTGTTAAAAGCTGAATGCACAAGGGTGGCAAGTCTCTTTATCCAAAGGCAATGTTTGTTTTCCCTCAGCAAGCTAGCCATGGACGCTCCCATTTGCAGTCCCAATCGCCCCCACTTTTCAGAGTAGGTTGCTGAAGAGCAAGAACATCTTTGGAAAGCTATCAAGCCACTCCAAGGCCACTAGAGAACGATGCTGTGGTCTCTGAAATAGATGCTCTCTCTGCTATGGCTAGGATTTGGATTTGAAGTGGCACAGGAAAAAATGTAAGTAGGACACAGCAGGCAAACCTTTCACCTATTGCCAGGCCACTGAACGCTTCTGGTTTGGACCCTGACAGAAAGACTGGCCATGTCCTGTCCTCTGCGCTGGGACCTTTCGTCCCTCTGCAGCGCTCTTGCGCTCTGTTTGGGTTTGTTTGTTCCTGTGTCACCACAAAGCCTCACCCCCACCCTCTTTCCCTGGCGAGCCAGCCTGCTCACCCCTTTAGCGTCTACCATTCTTCCACCGGTAGAGACATCACCTTTAGCCTCTGACTCCCAGGATCCAGACCCATGACTCTTGTCTTGGCAGGGCCATTTCGAGTTGGGTGTCACCCCGCATCTGGGGGAGTACAGATTTAAAAATAGTACATCATGCACGTGATCGGCATGGAGAGGCTGAGGGTGGGGAGTGGCTGGGACTCAGGCAAACGATTAAGATACACGACTCCCACAACCCCCCTGGGCGAAAAAAGGGGGAAAAAAGGCGCAGTTTTCACCCACCATCTTGCAGTCGTCCAGGGCTCGTTGGGTTTTGTGGGCGCTTTCGGAGCCGCTGCCCCTGCGCTCCCAATCCCCGCTCTGCAGCGGAGGCTTGCTGATCTGGAAGATCGAGGAGCGGGTAGACCGGCTGGGGCGCTTTTTGCGCCCATTCGGTGCAGAACTCATGCATACACATCCACCAAGCCGAAGCCGCTGGTGCAGTGCGCCCCGGCGCGGGCGACCCGGTGGTTGCCCCTGAACAGAGCAGCCGGAGCAGCCGGAGCCCGGACCTAAGGCGCGCGGCTCACAAGGTTGCGGCTGGCTGCGCGGGTGGGTAACCTTCAGCTTGAAGGAGGGCTGGGGCTGCGCTGCCTGTGCGGTGCAGCATCGCTTCCACTAGCAGCGAGGAAGAGGCGCAATCAAGTTCTGCTCAGCAGCATTGCCGGCCCTGTCCCGGGAGCTGGACGCTGCTGGTGCGGGCTTGCACCGCCTTCCTCTCGGCATGGATTGACAGGCTGAGCGAGGAGGAACGCGCCGCCGGGCGGTTCCGAGTTTCCATTCAGATGGGGGAAGCTGCGTTCAAAAGCCTGCGCTGCAAGGTGGGGGGCGGGAGGGGGTGTCGCTCTTGCTTCAGTGTCTTCCTGCAGCGGTGCGCGGTTCGCCTCTCCCCTCCCTCCTTGGTCGTCAGGCCTGGAAGGGGTGAGCTGTTCCGCAGCAGGCAACTGGCGCTAATCGGCCGCCTTGATCCCTGTCTCTGCTGGCTGGTGTGAGGATCCCAGATGAATCCGTGGCGGGACTGGCAGACGCACAGAGTCGGTCCGGCTGACGTTGGTCGTGGCCCCGCACATTGATAGGACAGGAATACTAATGTGATCCGTCCATACAATCTCCTTCCCTTCTACAGTTTATGCACTTATCCAATCAAATTCCCGGGAACATCAATTGCAATATTACTTCATCAGCTCTATTATTAGAAACGAAAAGTGTCATCAGAGTGGAGAACATTGCCACATGCTGAGACCTAAACATGGATTTTAAATAAGCCGATTGGGGCTTAAGGCCTTTGTCATCTGAGAGGATACTTTTTAGGGGCCATAGGAGGGAGCCAGGTATTTTGTTTCAAAAGGAAGCTCTCTTGATAGTGTCCAAGGATAGCGTTGTTTCCCTGAGTTGCTTTAGTTTGGTATTTGCTCCTGGGAGGAGCAATGAGTTGAAGGCATAGGGGCGTTCACTCAAGTTGGTACTCATCCTCACCCCACTTCAAGTGGCTAAACCTGCAAGTGTTTGCCAGCAGAGATTTGAAGAAGTAAGAGCCAACAAAACAAAGCAAAACAAACAAAAAACTTTCCCCAACCACAAACTGACCCCTTTTCCTTATGGGAGGTCAGCCTTAGGACCAATGGAAAGAAAAGATTATCTCTAAAAAGAGGTAGGGTTAGGTCCTCAAGCCAATCGGTTTCCCCCTGACCATTGACTTTGTAAAATCCCCCTAGAAGGAAAAGGGAGTGGAAAGGCCCTCAACTCTGATGCCCTGAACACTTGCTCCCAGGAGAGAAGGGCGAAGTAAACTTGCTCCCCAGGGGAATTAGTTATGTGCTGAACAACCCTTGAAGAACAAATCAGAGGTTCTTGGTGACTATCTTAGGTGAATGTGGAGAGTACTCAGAAAGGGGAACTAGAAATGGCCAGGGAGGCAACAGCATAAGTGGGTCTTTGAAATACCTCTAGACCTTTTTCTTTATTTTTTTGAAATTAAAATATAACATAATTTCACCCTTCCCTTACTCTCTTCAAGTCTTCCCATGTACATCCCTCACCCTAAAATTCATTGCCTCTGTACATTTTTCTTTTAATGGTCAGATAAACACATTGAGGTGGTGTGGGATAACATAACGAAGCATGTTTGGCTGTTGTCTCTGGTCCTGACACAGTGCTCCTAATACCATTGTGATGTCTGGTGAAAGGGGTGGTGGGGATGCCTTGGTGCAAGAAAGACTAATCCTCAAGTAGCCCAGGACTTACAACTCTACTCCCAGCTTCCAGAGAAGGGAGATGGGTGAAGGAAGTTCACCATCAATGACCACTTCTTTATGTAAAGAAACCTGTGAGAAAACCGTCACCCAGATGGCATGGGGAACATCCAGGTTGGGAACAACATCTAGGGGCTAAGAGGGTGGCATCTTCCCAATACCTTGTCCTAACAATTATATTCAGAATTTCATATGTGCATAAACTGTTCCTCTGTTACCTCATCTTAGCCTCCCCATCCCCCCACTACTATTCCCTCTCACAATTTCGTGTGTGTGTGTGTGTGTGTGTGTGTGTGTGTGTGTGTGTTTTAATTGCATCACCACAGAACTTTTTAAACCCACCGAGTCCACCTACTGCTGTCAGTATGTGTATGGATAGAGGACCTTCTTCCAGATTGTGGGTAGCCTCCTGGGGGCTATACCTTTGAAGAAACTTACCCTTCCTTTCCCAGAAGCCATCAAGTGTCAATAGCTCTTGAGCTAGAGGTGGGACTTCGGGACTCCCTTGTCTCCACAAAGAGGTGTTTTATTTTATTTATTTATTTATTTTGTCTATGCTGATCATACTCAGATCTTGTTCATGCTACACAACTGCTGTAAGTTCATATGTAAAACTGCCCTCTTCTTTCTGGGAAACAGTTTCTCTGAAGTCATCTACCACCTCTGGCTTTTACAATGTCTTATCTCATCTTCCACGGTGATCCCTTAGCCTTGGAAAGGAGGGTATTTGACATGGATGTCTCATTTAGAATTAAACATTTTGTAGTCTCTTATTCTTTGCTTAGTGACCAATGGTGGGTCTCTGTGTTAGTTGATATCTATTGCAAAAGATGAACCAGCTGCCTCTACCTTAGGCTTGAAAGTCATGGTACAGTAAAGACAAACTAGGGTCATTCCTGTTTATGATTAAATCTGTTTCTCAAGGATTGGGCTATGCTCACCTGTAACCTTCACTACAAATGGTTCTGTACTGCCTGTTCTAGGAACTAGCAGTCATGACTGTGTTTCAAAAGGTTATTATGACTATCTGTTGTTATAACCACCTTGTTATGCCCACCCTGTTTTGACCACTTGGCAATCATGTCTTTGTTTCAGGAGGATGTTAAGAGCAACTTGTTTTGTTTATGCCCTGCTTCTGTAACCCCACCTAATTTGCCTGACAAATCTCCAATTTGGAAACCCCCTACTCTGGAACTATAAAAGCCCTTATCTTGCTCATGTCCAATGCTGATCTCTTGAGCCTCACTTTTAGGGAGAGACAACCTGAGTACATGAATTTTAAAAAATCATACTTTAACTAATTGGTTGCTTTAATAAATTTGGCCATAATGTAGGTTGGTGGTCTTTGTCCTCAAATCTGGGAGTTGACAGAAGTTTCTCTAATGAGGGTTGAAAAATGCACTTATTTATAGCTATAATGATAAGACATAAGGAGTTGATTCAATGCTATGTCTGTTTAGCAAAATAATTGTAGTAGGTCCTTCCCTAGGTCCTATATGACCTACTTAGCCAAGGGATCTTGGCCTTTTTAATACCAGACATGAGTTCTGTATTATGAAGCTGGTGTTAAGTCCAATCAGAAAATGTTTGATGATTCCTAATACATTTGCAACACTGTAACATATCTTACCAGGCTAGTCTTTCTTATACCCCATAGAGTTCACAAATGGGTTAGAATAATGACTGTTTCTCTCTTGGTACTTTGGATAGCATCTTAGCACTATGAAGCTAGCAATGGGGATAAAGCTTCCAGGTAGGGCATCAGTTTGATTTCACCGTGTCTTATGACTCAAGAAGAGGTGTTATCTGCAGTAGGCCTTTATCATCAAGTTCTGGAGGATAACAAAAACCAGTGACGATATTCTGCAGTGTTTGTGGGTCTATGGGACCCCACAGACTAAAAACTCGAAAGAAGTAATCCATTCACGACACTGGGCATTTTATTTGATAGTCTATGCTGTCTAGGAGAGGCACCTTACCCCATTTTAGGTAACTCTATTACTCTATTTAAACTCTCTCTCTCTCCCTCCCTCTCTCTCTCTCTCTCTCTCTCTCTATATAATGTATATATTTTAGGAAACTTATATATCAATATGCTTCCAAATGGAATCTTCTAAGATCTTAAGTTACCTTGGATAACACTAAAGATTGCTGAAATGTTAAAATTTATTTTATTTGTTTATGAGGTGAGTGGGGTGCATGGTGCATGTGGAGGTCACAGGACAACATTTCCTTCTCTCCTTCTACTATGTGGGTCCCAAGGATAGAACTCAGGTACTCAGGCATGGTGACAGGTATCTAAACTTATTTGCTGAGCCATCTTACTGGCTCCAAATGTGTCACTCTTCTATTTGGTGCTCCAAGATGACATATGCTTTAATAAACTGGCAACAACTGAAAAGCATTCCTGAGTTCTATGAGCTCTTGTCATAAAGTTTCAATCCTGAGAGGAAGACTTGTGGGAATATCTATTTGTGTCCCACTTGGACAGAAGAGTGGGTAGCCCGCAGACCTAACACTTTTTACTGACAGTGGGGAGGGCAGTCCTGACAGATGAATCCCTTATACATGTTGAGTCTAGGGTCAACTCTATGTATTGGGTGTCATAATTATTTGAATGGTAGGATACCTCATTGTTTTCAGTGAGGCAGACTAGTGTTGGAAAAGACATTACTTATTTGGTTGTGGAGGAAAACCAAAACCTTGCAGCTGGATATATGAATGAATATCCAGGTTTAATTTTCATATTATTCTGCAGAAGACAATCAGGTTTTGCCTAAGACACTAGAGGAAGGAGGTCTCAGTTCTTCCTCCCCTTCTCTGTGTGCAGCTACATCTAGACATTCCAGTGTAAAAGGGCTCCCATGTCACCTGTCTCTCCCCAGGTACAAAAAGACACAAGGTTAACCTTCAGCCAATGCATAGACTTTTCCTCTGTCTGAAGTCCTGGTGTGTTCTCTGCTTCATGTATGTAGGGAGGAAGAACTGAAGAGTTGCTAAATCACATAAGTGGGATTTGCTGGGTGATGAGGATGTGGGTGGCAAGGAATAAGGCAGCAGAGGGAGTAAGGAACTCTGAAAAGACATAGGTAATGCCCATTTGCTCATTCTTTAAGTAAAACCCACTTGTTACTATTTACTTAGCATCATACCTAC